GAGACAACATCTTGTCTTTCTGACCACAATGAATGTCGAGGTCAATAGTGGGATTGTCGATATTTGCCCGAAGGGAACCGAACGCAAGTGCGACGCAAACGTTACGAGTGTGCGAAGCTGCTGGTCTAACTGTTCCTGAGATTCCCACATTCGGTGGCATACGCTAGCCCGACTACCTCCTCTGGTCAGTTCAATCATATTTCATTATCATGAGGGGGACTTTAAATTAGCCGTTGAGTTTTCAGGGGAACATCGTTTCTAAGCCACCTATTACAGCTTTCTCAGTTTTCTCGGAAGGTTTTTGACATTTTATTCAGTTAGCCCCCTTCTGAGATCAATCATGCAGTACTGCGTCGATATAACGTCGAAAAACGTTGGGATACTGGGCATGCCTCGCATTCAAACGAATTATCAAGACACATTTGGTAACGAGAGGAAGCATCGTGATAGTGAATAAACTGACCGACGCTCAAATGTCGACAGGATGCAAATTCCGATGATGGTCTTCGGCAATATGCAATTGTTGCCTGTTGTTGCGGGACGCACCTTTACCATCGATACAATTTTGTGTTCTAGGCATTCCGCAGTCGATACTTTAAAGTGCTGAAAATGCCCCCATCTGATCATATCAAGCATATTTTGAGTTGAATTAACAATCGGTCTTCCGATCTGAAGATTCTTCAAGTGTGTGAATAACATAAACTAACGGCCCTAGACGGCTCAATAGCGTTGTTGCCAAGTCTGGAACCGAATTCAAGCTTTGTTCTGCTGTTTATTAACCGGTTTCGATCGCAGGTTACTTTGAACAGCCTTTCTGGATGATAGTTTCACTGACCGTACTGATGACCAGAGAATAAGCACAGTCCCGATTCATCCAACTGATCAGGCTGGTAAACAGGAGAGCTACTTTTGGAGACATCTACGCGAGTAGCGGAATGCGCTTTTCCAAACAAGAAGAAATTTCTCTGGTAAACCATTCAGCTCTAATCTGGAACGCGCATGGTGCTTGCAAGCCTAGGGAGCCGATCGCAGTAGAGTGCGCGACTGTGTGATACTTAAGCACCGGAAAGCTCCAATGCTTAAGGGTCAGTCGAATCAGGAATTCTGTTTGCAATCTCATCAGTATAGAGGTAAAAGTCGACATTGTTCCGTGACCCATATTTGGTCAAAGTCAGCCTCATCGATCGCCCGCAAGGTGCGAGCTGGTACCATGGTCTAGATCTTACGTGTGCATTCCGTGTTACCTATACCACAATGAGTTTCCCAAACTTTACGGTACGGTGACGCCGTGGTTATCAAACAATTTAACCAAACGCTGTGTGTGTGTATGCAAGAAGACACACTGATGACCCTATTTCAGCCGTGGTAGCAGGCCGGGAAAAGATAACCGTGACAGAGCTGTATATGTGCACAGTCTGACCAATTTCCTATTCCAACTGCGCTAATTCCGCGGTCTGTGGTACACCCTTGGAAAGATACAGATAAAATCTTCCGGAATTAAGGCGTATGGCACTTTTATGTTAAAGTTATGCTACAAATATCCTCGTGAAGTGGCTATTCCCATCATCTCTTTGACACCGCGTTACCAAAAGCGCGGGCATGCATTATGCTCGATTCACATCGCACAGTCGAAAGAGAGTGGAGGGCCGTACTGTTTATGCGCAGACGTTTCCGGTTTCGGTGGGAAATTGGGGAACTTGCACCTATGCATTTGTCTCGTGCCACACCCATAGTTGCACCCTTATCGATTCCAACGACTGCCTGTGACTCATCGCTAACGTTGCACCTGGGTGTGCCATCATTATTTGTGTCTCTGTGCTTGGCTGTCGATGCTGCGTTGCGTTGTTAAGCCTTAACAAGCGGCCTTTCCTTCAATACAGACATCTTAATTGTGTGAGGTGTGTGACTTTAACGAGATGTTCTACTGGCCAACTAAACTGTGTCCCACGGTGGTGGCAGCAATGATGATCGCTTAGCTGTCAAGTAGCGATAGATCATTTTCTCCGCAATCGCTCAGTTATGAGATTTCCGCGTTTGAGTTCATACCTAGTTTCAGCTCCGTCAATGATAGTTAAGCTCATCAAGAATATTAGCATTTTGCTGCATCGTACAAATGCATCGCACAATTTAACACTTTCATGCCCGAACTAACGGCGTTCCCGTTGCAATCTACGCTGCTCACTCGCTATGAGTTTTGCAGCAATTTAACAACCGGTTTAACAAAAGCTTGACTCAACATCGTTATCAGCAATATCGCCTTCGTCAGCAACTGAATAATATATAATAATATTCAATAAGAGGTTACAATAATCGGCGGATCACAACTCTTCACGTCACGAAAGGCTTGATATTTGTTTGGAAGCTTCGGATTAGGATGACCGAAATTTTGCGTGGAAACCGAGGCACCCTCATTAAAACCTAATGTCTTAATCAGCTGGCCACTTAGTTTCACCATCAACACTCTGTGCCCCCCGCTATTTCAGTCTAAGTTCACACATGGAGGAAACCAATCAAATCCTGTGGTGATGTGAGCGACAAACTATGCAATGCCGTCCACCTCGGTTACGGCTCCAGTGCTCGAAATGATTGAGAGTTAATTCAGCATAAATCGTAGTCAGTCTTGTGATTGCGTTTCGCAATCTGAACGCTCGAGGTATTCAGCAACCAACTACATATCAGCGCTTGGACTTGTACTCTGTTGGATACAACCAGTGATTAAGAGAAAGCATAGTACTGGTAATGAGGTGGTGTAACTGTGGAGGTCAACGCATGAAACACTCGGTTAGTTTCAGTCGCCCGATGATTTGCAAATACAACGCAACCACCCGTGCTTGGTCACAATATGAAGTCTAGGAGACACCGACGCGGCAGTTTTCTTGCGGCTTCCCTTGTGCTGTCAAGTCGGGCATATAACTCTGCAACATCGAGATCTTAGGCATGTGATCAGCTTTGCTAATTTGCAGAGTCGCTGACCTAGCTTGGTAAATATAGTCCTCAATTTGTGATGGAAGACCACAGAAAAGTTCCGAGGAACATTGCTCCATCATGTGCTCACAAATGCTCTTTTCGCTTGATTTTCTCATCCTTTCAGTCATCGAGATTTGAAACCGGAAAACCTACTTCTTGACGATCAACTAAACATCCGCGTAGCCGATTTTGGAATGGCCTCTCTCCAACCGGAAGGATCGCTACTGGAGACCAGCTGCGGGTATGTGTGGCGACACAAATATTATTGCTACTTTTGCCGTTATTATTGTTCTCATGCGCATTTTACCCTTATCATTTTTGAAGTGTGTACCTTCGGTTACATATTTGTCCGATGTATACCATAGTTTATGCAAGAAGCAAAGGAAGTTTGCGACTCGCAAACCATGTAACTAGTACTCAACGTTAGGGCACACTTGACACATATAGCTAACCACAGATCCAACTCGTCTACCACTTGAATCCATGCTTCTCCTTTTACTCACTTCGGCGGGTTATTTGGATTGTCTCAAAGTGACGCTCTATTATTGGATGTTTGGAATTTGTGATCTCCATAAACTCATCGTCAGCTGAACCGATCGAGCTACGTCGATGGTTACTGATTTGGACATCTTAATATATTTGCAGATTAGCTGTAACGAATAAAGTTATGCATATGACGTAAACAGAATTGATCACACCCGAACCCACTCAGACGGACAGCATCATTCGAGGCTTGCTTTCATTGCACATGCCAAGTATTGGTGCGTGGGTTGATATGGTATCACACGGATCAGAAACCTGAGGTAGATAGGAGGCCGAAGGACCCATCACTAATCAGTTATCCACAGTGCGGCGCTCAATGCAGTAAACGAGAAACCTTGCTGGTATGTGGTTGGACCACAGAAAGGCGATTGGATCTGGCTAGCATCGATAATACACAACCACTTACAGACCAGAGCGAAGTGAACAAATAAATAAATACATAGTTTATTACAGAGAAGTAGTAGGGGGAGTTGAATGGTATAGGTAGAAATTCGTCACATCTAGACTCAGTCAGACAACCATCACACGCCCGGAAAAGCACTGTACGCGCGTTTCATCCTTTGGGGAATCTTTAGCGGTACGCATTCCATCGGACCCTGGTAGGGCTCGAACCCGCAACTCGACTGTTGCCAGTCCGTGGTTGAGACCACTGAGTTACGGGGGACGGCAACGACCATCGTGAATAAGTTACTGGATGTGATATAGCGCCGCTCACTATCCACTGACTTGCACGTTACTACCGTGCAGAGGGTTCGAGCCCTACCAGGGTCCGATGGATTGCACACTGGTGACGATTCTCGAAAGGATGAAATGCGCGTACAGTGCTTTTCCGGGCGTGTGATGGCTGTCTGAGTGAGTCTAGATGTGACGAATTTCTACCTATAACAGATTATTTTCGACAACGAGAGGCACGCCTTTATAGACATGATCGTGGCAATATATCTAATGTACAAATGCCCAAAAATACACTGTTTGCCATACCAGTGATATATGTGTTTGCGTGTATACACCTGTACTTGTGTATGGGGTGTGTGGATTGAGCTGTGGGTGGTGCAGCGCAAGCCATCCATGGTCCCTCGGTAGGCGCAGGCGTTCTGTGTCTGTCTTATGGAGGCCACAGTGACAGGCAACTCCGAAACCGGAGGCCGCCAACCAATTGTGTATGTGTGTAGCTTGCGTTTGTAGATGTGCTGCTGCATTTTTGACTGTTTGGTCGCGTCGTCAATGTGAGCATAGACGGTTGATGTCCGTGGGTTGGATATGATTACCTGGATGTTCATGGGGCAGTGGCGTTAGTTTGTGGCGAGTCACAACCGTCACATCGCTGTGTTGATAGACAGGCATGTGTGGCTTTTTATGGGGAGAACGCTTGCCAGCGGAAACCCATCACGACCTGGAACACTACCGCCGAACTCTTTGCTGTAACGGGGTACAACCGAACCACCATGAGGACGTTGTTCGGCTACCCAGCCGAATAGAATTCCACCAATGACATTTGGCTCGGTGAGCAGCGTTCAGAGTAAGGAATCAGTGGCAACTCACATTCACCGCGAATTAGTGCAGTTAGTCGTGAGACACGTGAAATAGACCGTTTCGCGGTACAATTATACTAATCAAGATCGGCCGGAGTGTCACACGACAAGCGATTGAAAACAGAGACCCGATTTTGTCCAAAACAGGCTTAGTCCCATAGATCATGATTGATTTCGACAGTGGACATGAGCCAGGGTCTGCTTATGGTATAAGTTGGCCCACTTTGGACATCACTCCTACATTCACGCACCGAACTCGAACCGCTGGAGGCTGTGTTGATTCGTGTTTGTGTTTTTGGTAGTGCGCTGATACTGATCGTTTTATGGCAAACTGCTGTTCTCTAGTTTGGTGACAGAGCAGCAAAGTAAACGGTTGCATTTCATGCTTCTGTGATTGAGGCCGATTACAGTTAGTCCGTCTGCCTCTCGTGTCAAAGTTTATATTCCTTTTGCTCCTTGATTCAACTGTTCTCCTGGCAAAAGCCTCAAGGTGGCAACCACGATAACAGTGTGTAGTATGCCCATCCGGCGTAAACAATGGGGGGGGGCCGCAGAATGCCAAGGTGCACAAAAAGGTTAAAGACAGGGATAAATAAAATGCCAGAATGCAACAGTACCATTGCGATTCCGTCCACAACATATTGGGAACAGTCTCTAAACTTCATTACGGTTGGTGCCATCTACCCTATATAAACAACTAAGGCACACTAGCACGACTACAAGTTTTGGTCTTTACCCTCATTCAATTCCTCCACCACGTCGTCCGACCAATTTTACTTTTCACCTAACCAAATTCAGTTATGATAAACCTTCCCGTTGTGGTTGGCAGTCGGTATTTTCTCGACATTAAGGAACACTGGCAGCATGGATCGCTGGCGCTGGGAGGCTTGTTTCCAAAGACCACTTTCCAGCGATTAAAATACAATGTACAGCTGCTTTCCTTGATTTCTCCAGTCGTGTACTACGGGAAATCACCACTGCATAATAAAAAGTAATGCGATCGAAACGGATATGTCGATCGGTGGACGGCTACATTTGAAACGAGCCAGCAGCATAACAAACAGTGGGCGGCCAAAGGCCACAGACCGAGGTGATACAAGACAATACTCGGGACCAAAATGCAACGGAGGCTCTTGAAGGACACACGGCGATTGCACCAAGAGCGCGAGTACGGGTAATGTACACGCACTAATCACGCGCTCCCTAGCTAGAAAAATCCCGGAAGAATATGAGACGGAAGTAAGGGGAAGGGGGCCACGAGTCGTTTCGTGTCTAGCCTCTGCTTCTTCAATAGGCACACCAGCAGTGCAACTTGTGAATGAGGAGGCGTATCAGCCGTGCGTATGTCTGTGGTCCGAGCGGGACCGCTCACCATGATTGGACCAGACTTTACGTCTAATAATGTTGCAATGACTGTGCTCCCCTCCCTCTTAATTAAATTCTACAAATGGTGGTAAATCGGATTGCCACTGCGACGACAAGCCTGCGACGACACAGTCACATATATAACTGAAGTTCTGTAGCAACAAAGATGGGCAGAGGAAGCGTGTGTGGATACACAGTCTTGACACGATTTGACGAATGAGCCTGGAATCAGCTCCCGGTGTCTGAGTTGACATGTGCCCATTCGACCTGCTCATCGTCCTAACGTACAGGTTCTTCTTGACTCAATTAAGGTGCTCGAAATTTATGTACCGCAGCACATGATGATCACAACTGAAATCAGTGAAGGCAAGAAAGCGCTTTTATGCACCGAAAAAAGACGAGTTTTCAGCCGTAACACATGACATTGATGTCGAGTTAGTGTCCGTCCGTATCAACCGCCTGATATGACAGACGTTTGCGTTTCACTGTGAGTTTGTGCGACGAGGCGAAGGCAGTTGCAAAGCAGATGCTTTTGCAGCCCCTGAACGTTGGTAAGATTGTCTCCCCCCGTTGGCAGTTGTAATTCCCTGAATCCTCATAATTGCGAACAGCCTTTTAGTATTTTGTTCCTTAGAACGCAACATGATCAAAGATCTATTTTTATTTTCCACTGTAAGTGCCGGCATTTGTATCGTTACAATACTCACACCCAAAGTTTACAAACACACCTTTTATGCATTACTTGTAGAAAAAGCTTCGAAGAAGCTATCAAAATTTAGTCCAACTGTAAGTGCACACCCTATGAAGAGAAATCCAAAATCCTTGAGCCTTGTATGTTTCATTGCTGATCGAACGTAGTGCTTCATAAGCTTGAATTTTGAGAAAGAGCGCTCACGCAGTTGGCTAATAGCTTGGATAAGAAAGATGCTCAGTAATATTACAATCATCATCATCATCATCAACAGCAGTACATCAGCCATTTGAACTGATGCTTCGCTGCCATACAACCATGAGGACCTATGAAATAAAGAATAAGAAGAGGGAGAGGAGGGGGACTTACCTGAAAACCTTAATGCCCTAAGCAAACATTCAGGGTCAAGGCGCCTACACCTTGTGTTAACAACATTCCGTCACAAACAGCTGGCTATCGTGCAAAGATAAGGCGGCATCGGCGAGACAGCTTCCTTGCGGCTTTCACTGCCACGCGTCATAATCAGCCATTACTCCGCAGATAACTCAGCACCAAACACACTTTAAACAGACAATCCAATTAGGAGACGGCAGCAGACGCGCCACTGGTGTCGGTTGCGAGCCATGTCCTGTAAAGTCTCGAGCCAAGCACAAGGTGAGTCCCGTGGGCTCCAACCCGGAAGGCGAGACGGACCAACGGCACCCAGTTTGGTCGTCAGTGACTTCATTTCCCGCTGCCAAGTCAACTTCTGTCCACCTCGAGCCTTGCGCCATCCGACACCTGGTAGACTGAACAAGGCCCTCCTAGGTAAGCGGTGACCAGGCATGCGTAGCACGTGCCCGAGCCAACGTAACTTATTCAGTGCTATCTGTTGTTCTAGCGAGCTAGCATGATCATCACCACCTAGTACTCGCCTACGCACATCATCGTTGCGGACACGCTGGTGCCATCCGACACCAGCAATGCTTCGCAAACAACGATGATCAAAGACTTGAAGGCGCCTCAGATCTTCAGACCGAAGGGGCCAAGTCTCACTACCATAAAGCAGAACGGCCCTCACTGTGGCCTTGTATACAATATTCTGTGCCGAATCCCCGAAGTGATACTTCT